TATTTTATCATGTAATTTTCATCCGCATAATTTACAATCATCAATCCAACCACATCTATAAACGACTGTCTTCTTTTGCTGCGTAGAATAATGTTTATACCTCCCAAGGATTATGATATGTATGTTCTTTTTTAAAATGACACAATGCCATTGCACATTTAGTGGACTAACAAAGCTTTTTATATGCACTGGGACACCAGAAATTTCATCTGCACCACTTGATTTACAATATTTCCTTATTGCTGTGGTCTGGAGAAAAAAAATCCCACAAACTTTCCAAGCTCTGCTTGTATTAGGGAAGGATTAAACAAAGGCAAGGTAAAGGAAACTCTTAATTTTTGGAACTGATTCTATGATAGCATCAGCTACCTATGATTAGGATGGAAGGTAAGTTTCTGACATGACAGATCGATTATAACGAACTATGGGGAAAGTGTATTTATGCTTTTATTTATTTATTTATTTTTGCTTTTTGGGTCACACCTGGTGATGCACAGGGGTTATTCCTGGTTCATGCACTCAGGAATTACTCCTAGCCGTGCTCGGGGGACCATATGGGATGCTGGGAATCGAACCCGGGTCGGGCCGCGTGCAAGGCAAATGCCCTAATTGCTGTGCTATCACTCCAGCCCCATATTTATGCATTTATATGAGCTCGCTTACACTCTGTCTGGGATGGCTTAGGTTATTCATGTGGAGATAACCTAGCAGGGTTCTGGGAAAGTGCAGGAAGCATCTGAGATGTTAGATTTGGAGAGAATGATTTGTTGATCATTAGCATTTGGATGATTATGGAAGCCTAGAGTGAGAATCAGAGCAATCATTAGCAGGGCTGCTCAACCGTGGCTGCAGAGTGGAATCTACTTGAAAACTTTCCCCAAATACCCAGACCTGGACTGCGTCACTGACCAGTTAAAGCAGTGTGTTTCGGGGTGGGGCCTAGCTAGGGCCCTGCTGGAGGGGGGATAAACCAAGACCAACGAAATAGACCCTGGCATGTTTAACGATGCGCACTTTTTTCAGCACCGCTGCCTGCCCTCATGAGATTAGTACTGCACTGTAGCACTGTCGTCCCGTTGTTCGTCGATTTGCTCAAGCGGGCACCAGTAACGTCTCCATAGTGAGACTTGTTACTGTGTTTGGCATATCGAATACGCCACAGCGAGCTTATCAGGCTCTGCCATGCAGGCGGGATATTCTCGGTAGCTTGCTGGACTCTCCGAGAGGGACGGAGGAATCAAACCTGGGTCGGCTGCGTGCAGGGCAAATACCCTACTTGCTGTGCTATTGCTCTAGCCTTACTCTTTTCATTTACACCTTGTAGGGACACTGAGGTACAGGAGTTAAGTATTATTGAGAAGCTGAAGGTAGGGCCTGGATTCGTACCCAGCAACTTTCCTTCAAGTCATTCACTTTGTTCCTTTTTTATTATTTATTATTTTATTTTATTTTGCTTTTTTGGGTCACACCCGGCGATGCACAGGGGTTACTCCTGGTTCATGCACTCAGGAATAACTCCTGGTGGTGCTCAGGGGACCATATGGGATGCTGGGAATCGAACCTAGGTAGGCTGCATGCAAGGCAAACGCCCTACCCGCTGTGCTAGTGCTCCAGCCCCCTTTGTTCCTTAAAAAAAAATTATTTTATTTTAAGTTGTTCACAGTAATTTATTGCATTCAGCATTCCAACCTGAATCCCACCACCATTATTTCGAATTTTCCCATGACCCCCAAAGCCTTCCCTCGAAGCAGTTCCTAAGCAATTTATTTTGTATTGCTTCTTATGAATATTCTGCTAAAAATGATACAGAAAAGTTTCCGTAGAGGAAAGTGTGTGAAATTAAGCCCTTGTATAAGAGATTACTAACATATTGTTACAGGTTGAACATATTTTTATCATAGAAATTGATTGCCTTCTACTTTACACACCATCACATGTGGTGTGCTACTCTTGGTATATCGGTGTCATACAGTATGAGATGTCGCGTGGCCGTGAGTGTTCCAGGAATTCTAACATTTTAAATAGGCCGATACAGCTTGAGTGAATTTTTTTTTTTTTGGCTTTTTGGGTCATACCCAGTGGTGCTCAAGTGTTACTCCTGGTTCGACACTCAGGAATTACTCCTGAGGGTGCTGGGGGCCCAAATGGGATGCTGAGGATTGAACCCGGGTCGCCTGCATGCAAGGCAAAGGTCCTCCCCCCCGCCAACTATTGAGGCATCTCTGCATCCCTTTATTCCTTTTATCTTGCTATCCTACTCAACTCAAGAAAAGTCTGGGGAGGGTTTGGTAGTGTGAGAAACTCACCGGACTCCTTCCCCAGTGAAATAACCCCGTAGCTGGTAAAATGAGAAAGGTGACCACCTGGGGACTGGAGTAATAGCACAGCGGGTAGGGCATTTGCCTTGCACGCAGCCAACCTGGGTTCGATTCCCAGCATCTCATATGGTCCCCTGAGCACTGCCAGGAGTAATTCTTGAGTGCAGAGCCAGGAGTAACCCCCCCCCCAGCATTGCCGGGTATGAAAAAAAAAAAGGAAAAGTAACCACCTAAAGTCTTTGGAAATAAACTTGAGGACATAGCAGGTAATGGGGAAACTTTTTGAAGAAAATGTTTATCTTGGTATAAACAGCAGAGTCTTTGGCTTAACTTCCACCAGATCCACAGATGGAATTGTTTTTCCTGATGCATCTAGTCAAGAAGACAGGACTCCCCCTCCCCTGTCCTGGTCCCCTATGACTGCCAGGTGACCCGCTCCTGGGGCCTGTCAACTGTGAACCCCTGCAGCCCCAGTGAAAGCCCTCCAGTTGGGCTGGGAAAATGGCAAGTTGAAAAGGAACAAAACTCCAGGTTGTTGCCAAGTCACCAGGATTTCTTGGCTGCTTGTTCTCGGTTGCTGTGAGCCTTGCCTTGTTTCCAGAGTTCCTATAATTTCCTCCATTTTTCTTAGTGCTTGGATGGAGGAGAGAACTTTCGGAGGCTCTTAATCTATCCATTTTTGCTGACCCCTTAGTTGAACTTTTTAGGCAAGTTTCGTGATTAATTGAGTGGCTATTATTAGTTTGTTCTGAAAGTGATTCTTTTTTTTTTTTTTGCTTTTTTTTTTTGGGTCACACCCAGCAATGCACAGGGGTTACTCCTGGCTCTGCGCTCAGGAATTACCCCTGGCGGTGCTCAGGGGACCATATGGGATGCTGGGAATCGAACCTGGGTCAGCCGCATGCAAGGCAAGCGCCCTACCCGCTGTGCTATTGCTCCAGCCCCCTGAAAGTGATTCTTATATTTAAAGTTACTGGAAATAACTTACTAATAACTTTATAAATAAATGTCCCATAATACGAGCCAACTGTGTTTTTTTAAGTCACGTTGTATCTCTATGGCAGAATATTATGCAGTTGTCAAAAGGATGAGATAGTTTTAATTGAAATATTCAGAGGATAATATTAAATGGAAAAATACTACCTGATGGCCTGTTTGTGGAAGTGTTGTGCTGGCGTGAGCCGCCAGTGGACAGAGCAGGAGTACTCAGGATAGGACAGTGAGTTTCTTAGAAGCTCAGCGCTGAGAACCCCAAGTTAGGAGAGAAAGAGACTTGAAGCCTCATTCGCTGAGAGGGTCTCTCTTTGATCCTCTAAAGGTGGGCTACAATCTACGTACATTGTTATCACTGAAACAGGGGAGACAGAGCAAAAGAAATACAATCAAAGCATCTTCCCTACAAGGTGAGGCCTTCAGGGGCTCAAAAGGAAAACAGTGTCTGTGTGTCTCACCCATGTTGGTTAGGCCTTCAGGTTCCATCTCCCGGGCACTCCCGTAACTGTGTCAGCCCAGAGTGCTGCCATCAATGTGGTGGGCGGGCCCTTTACTCAGTTGATTGGGGTCATAAAAGGAATGCTTCCCCTCCCTTCTTCTCTTGTTTAACCTAGGGGTGAGTTTCAGTTTCCTAATCCCCATCATGGTTTTTCTCAATTTTCATTAGTTTCATAATTCCCATTACATACAGCTTCTAATTTGTCATTATAAAAGTATTGAATAACAACTACAGGAAAACACATGTGTGCTAATGTCATTTCTTGAATATATGTTTCCCTCTGGGACAGATGCAGTTGTGGGACATGGTTGCATTTTAGAGTTGCGGTTATGGGACTTTTGGGGTGTCTGTTTGAAATAATGCTTCGAGAGTCGCCGGCTGTTTCATTTGTCCTTTTGCAAACTGCCAATCAAAGATGTAGTTAAGGGCTACAAATCTGTGATATGTTTGTGAGGATGGTGCTTCTTTTTTTGGTCTCTCTGAAGTGAACCACCAAGTTGTAATTTTTTTTAAAAATTTTTATTAGTGAGACACCATGAGGTACAATTGTAGACTTACAAATTTTTGTGCTTGGGTTTCGATTATACAATGTTTGAGTACCCATCCCTCCACCAGTGCCCATTCTCCACTGCCACTGACTCCAGTATCCCTCCCACTCCCCATCCCCCCATCCCATCCTGCCTCTGTGGCAGGGCATACCCCTTTCTTCGCTCTCTCCTTTTGGGTGCTGTGGTTTGCATTGAGTGGCAATCATGTTCGGTCTAGGAAATCATTTGCCCAGAGCACCTTAAAAAGAACTCACTTTGCATTTTGATCACCTAGGATAGTCCTGGAGTCGTGATAATGACTAATCGGCTCTTTTCACCCCTCAGGGACTTGTAGACTTTGTGCATTCCTCCCCCTGAAAAGTCACACTTGCATCTGAAGAGTAGCAGCCATCCTCTGTCACCTTTATTTTTATCTTTGAAGAAGGAGGAATAATCACTTAGTTCCGAACCTCACGGGGAGATAGAATTTAATTATCCAAACTGAAATCTCCCTGGAGCCCAGAACCTAGCCTGTGTACACACGTAGGTTCTCAGGGACTTCTCTGGACTTGCAGTGCGCTAGTCTTACCGTGGCAGTGTATCTTGTCTCCTTTGCTCTTGTGAAATGGGGTTTTCAGCAACATTTTTCTTGTCTCTTTTCAGATCACGGAACTGTGTGGTGCAAAGCGGGTGGGATATTTTGGTCCAACGCAGTTTTATGTTGCCTTGAAATTAATTGCCGCGGTGCAGTCTGGTCTTCCCGTGAGGCTTGAGAGTATTAAATGTGGTAAGTATATCACATGTATACGTTTGATTGCCCCCGACAGGTTTTGTATTTAGGAGAGCCATTTATACTGGGGTTTAGGTCTGTTCTGTCAGCTCTTGTGGAATTTTTCCCTGCTTCTTCCAAGTCTGCTGTAAAATCAAATAAGAACACCTCGTGGGGATCTTGGAGTTTTTTTTTTTTTCCTTCTCAAATGGCCAAAACCAAACAAGCAAGAACCAGCCCAAACAACAACCAAACCCAATCCAAAGCTCCTTCAGAGTGACCTGAGGTGAGTTTTTTTTTTTTTTGAACCGACTGGCAGTTAAAATAAGAGTTTGTTCTTTAGCCAGAAGGGACCAGGACAGGACCTCTCTCTCTAGCCTGTGGCAAAATAATGACACAGTTATCTTGGGAGTTTCAGATGTCAAGTAAGACTCTGCCGGCACGGGGTGAATAACCAGAGTGGGAGACTGCCCATCCCATCACGTCAATGCTCCAATTCCCAAGGACTCTTCTGACAACCAGCAAATTCCTTGGGGCAGCCAGGGTGAAATTTACCTTCTCAAAGTCTCTATTGAACATTTATCTCGCTTGCTCTCCCTACCTCCAGCCTTTCTTCTTCTTCTTCTTCTTCTTCTTCTTCTTCTTCTTCTTCTTCTTCTTCTTCTTCTTCTTCTTCTTCTTCTTCTTCTTCTTTTTTTTTTGGCTTTTTGGGTCACACCTTGCGATGCTCAAGGGTTCCTCCTGGCTCTGCACTCAGGAATCACTCCTGGCAGTGCTCAGGGGTCCATATGGGCTGCCAGGATCGAACCTGGGTTGGCCTCGTACAAGGCAAACACCCTCCCCGCTGTACTATCACTCCAGCCCCCTACCATCTTCTTAAGCACTTTCTAGAACTAAAACGAAAAGCCGAGCCGCCCCCTCCACACCCCCACCCCGCCAGTAACATTTATTTGTACTGTCTTCAGTATTGGTTTTCCAAATATGTATGAAGACAATTATTCCAGGGATCTGCCGAGATTCCATATTAATTCATTCTGTGCAAACAACTTTCATATGTCCCCACAGCTGTGCAGGAACTTCTCTCTTTTCCTCATTTTGCGATGAAAACCTCTCATCTGTTCAGCTGTCCTGAGCTGTCACCGGTTCACACAGATGTGGGTTCAGGCTGTACGGTTCATCCGTGGTAGTCCCGTAGGACGGCTTGCTCATAGCTGCCAAAATTCGAATGTTTAGAGCCCAGGAAACGGAGCTGTTGTTCACTAACCCCCACCAGGGCTGCTGGTGCGCTGCTGACGTTTATTCACGGGGTACCGAGTGCCAGATACTCTCTCACGTGACCTGCACAACATGTACAACATCTACAAAAGAAGGCATTTGTCCGTTCCCGTGGCCCCGGGAGGAAACTGTGGTCCGTGTTGGTTCACGTGCTTCAGGATATTCAGGAATGAAAATACCGAGTTATAAAGATGCTCAGACTCATAAGATGGAAAAGTTCATGGCAGAGTAGGAGAGACACTTCCCTAGGCAGGGAGGAATTTAGCATAGGACTAATTTTTTTCCTTTTTTTTTTTTGGTGGGAGTTTGGATAGAATTGGGTCTTTGTGTTTCTTATCAAACAAAGTATCGCAGGATTCCCATCTGTTTCCCAGAGATGTCTTGTTAATTTAGAGTTCTTTTGTGCTGCTGAGATAAGATTAACATCTTGTCTTCCCACTTACGCAGGTGGGGGACATTCTGTTTCTTTACGACCTTCCAGGGTACAGAGTTGACCACTGGCCTAGGCACAGCCTGTTGGCTCCAGGGCCTGGGGCATAATTTATGGCCCTGTGAAAATTCTGGACTCCCAGCCCTAAGGAGAGCCTGTGGGAATTGCAGGAATGTGTAGAATGTAGGATGGTAGCTGCTAACATGGAGCCTCTCTCTGCAGCTGGTGCCAGGGGAGGGGGCTTCCTCTTTGCTCACGAGCCTTCCAGCACTTTCTGTGCCGGGCAAAGGCCTATTCGTTCTGCCATGGTTCAGGCTTCCCTGCTATGCCTGCAGAGTTGTCCCAGTGAGGTGGAATGCTTGGGCAGGCTGTGACGTGGAGTTCCCTAGCTCACCTTCAGGGAGGGGAGGCGGGGGGGGGGGGGGGGCGGAGCCATAGCACAGTGGATAGGGAGTTTGCCTTGCAAGTGGCTGACCCAGGTTCGATTCCCAGCATCCCATATGGTCCCCCAACACCGCCAGGAGTAACCCCTGAGTGCAGAGCCAGGAGTAACCCCTGAGCATTGCTGGGTGTGACCCAAAAAGCTAAAGAAAACACACACATGCACGCATGTACGCAGGGAGGGGAGGGGAGGCCTATTGGGGAGTGAATCCTGGAAGTCACCCCTGGGGAACCTTTACAGGCCGCCGTCCCACGAGTGGCAGCTGAGGTTCAGGAGGTTGAAGAAGGGGACGCGAAGTAGCTCGGTCTGGCCTGTGCAGATTGCAGTTGGATTCTGTCTGTCTGTCTCTTGCTGGGGACCAGACCTCGGGCCTCATCCAAGTGTGTGACGGACCACCGGACCACGTCTGTAGCACTCACGGCAGTTTCTCTCTTTGGGGCCGTAACTGGCATCTGCTGTGTGGGAGTGCGGGCAAGATTGGGTCAGGCTTGAAGCTGCCACTTCAGAATTTTCCATTCTACTGCTTGAAATCTATTAGCTTAAAAATGTTTCATGGCACAAATCCTGACTGGTGTGTGAGAACCTAATCTATGGTACTGCCATCACCGGGCCCTGGGGTGTTGGCCCTTCTCTAAGTCACACCTTTCTAGAGGGACAGGTGCCTGGGTGGTGTAAGGTCCATTGGGACCCTGAGGGAGATTCCAGAGTTAAAACTCTACTGATTAGTAACTCTCCCTTTCCTGCCCCCTCCCTAGTAGAGCCTTAGCTGTGAAGCCCTTCCTTATTGGGATGTAAATTCTGAAACCATTTGTTGACTCTTCCTTGCTGGGATGCAAATTCGAAAACCATTTGTTGGCCCTTCCTTATCTGTTACCTCTGTTAGGAACTTTTCCCTTATCCACCTCCATGCAGGAGCCATGAGCTGAGAATCAAAGGGAGCCAGGTGATGACCAAATGTCCCAGTTACCAGATGCCCACTAGCCACAATGCCTATGTACATAGATGCTGATCTTTGAATCTATAGGCTAAGGAGTGATGTACTTTTAAATGGATTGGTTAAGAAAGTATATGTTGTTATAAATCTATTGGGTATGAAATGCACGGGCTTTGCTGTAACGGGCAGTGAAGGCCTATATATGATCCCCTTTGAAGAAGTTCGGGTCTTGCCTGATGGCTTGACCCTGGCTAGCCAGCTCAGTTAGCTACCTGCTTGCTTATTGCATTCCTGCGTGGTCCTTGCTTGTGGTCGGAGATCCAGAGTCGTGCCCTAACAGGTGTGTGGATGTGGATGTGTGGATTCACCTCTGACCCCATTCTGGAAACTGCCAGCTCTAGCTCCAGTTGCTCAAGCCAGGAGCCCCCAGATCATCCTTGATTCATCCCTTTCCTTTCCTCACTCCCTGAGGAGTGCACTCATGGCAGCCAGCGCCTGCAACCTCCGGTGCAGACCAGGCCATCTGCAGCCACGCCTCCTCCAGGGAGACCACAGTGGTTTCGTCATTGGGTCCATGACTTCTCTTCTCTCTCCTTCAGTCTCTTCCCACTCAGAGATGAGCTGTCATCGCAAAGTATCTGTCAGCTCGTTTTGTTCTGCTCCTTCAAGGCCTCCAAAGGTTCATTTCTTGAACTTAGCACCAAAATTCCACGAAGTCCCTCTGCCGCTCTGGATAATCTTGTCCCTGACGGACACTCCATCTGCTTCTCGAACCTTCCCCACCTTTCTTCCAGTCTGCCCCTGGCCTTCCAACCCCTTTTGTGTGACCTCGCTGGAGCAAGGCATGTACCAGGCTCTCTGCTGGTCCATGGGCTCCTTCGCTGTCTGTTCTGCCTCCCCTCTCTGCTTCCCATGACCGCTCCTTCTTATCCTTCAGGAGACGACACTGTCATCATCACCTACCTAAGGTGGCATCTATCCGCTACACAAATGCGTGCATGAAGGAGCCAGCCTAGAGGAAGCTGCGTCAGGGAAGCGCAGAGAGTCTGAAGTATTTATGGTCGGGGAAAGAAATAAGGTCGGAATAAGATTGCAGAATTACATATAAAATCGTTTAATGCCCGAGAGGGCAATAAAACTGTGACTTGATTATTATACTCACATGAAACTCATTTGCATTGCTATCCGAGGAGAATTATTTAGTAGCCGGCAGTTTCCTGTAAGTTCATATCTACCCTTTCAGAACTGTAAAATACCTAATCAAGAATAAATAGAAAATCAAGACAGAAGAGCACCTCCCTGGGCAATTAGTGACAAGCCCTTTGGCTGAAGCTGTTAGGAAATGCATCTAATTGTATTCTCGCTGCGCACCTGCCTGGCCCAGCGCTGGTCAGAATTTGTAAACACTCATTTGCAGGTTCAGGGCATTTGGGAGGCCGTCTTCCTCTCTAGCCGACACGAGCTTGTGTGCCGGACCTCTGAGGGTCAGGTACTTAGGGCATGCTTGAACGAATGAATGCAGGGCGCGGGGGAATGAATGAATGCAAAGACTCATTCGTGGGAGCGCGTCCTGTCCATGGGCTCCTGTTGCAGCTCAGCGCACTGACTCTTCAGAATGCTCTGGAGCTTTGAAGGCGTTTGGCTTGAACTTCTTTTTCTCATGCCCTGGTTCCCGGCCCCTTCCGCAGTTGAGAATCACCTGGAGAGCTTTCAGATAAATATTTGCAAAATAAGAAGTGCAGCTGTCTGGGGCCACTGCCAGGAACACATTTAATTAGAATGGGGGTGCCGCCGGGAATTCAACGCTTGAAAGGATCTCGGGAGAATTTCGGGGTGGGCTCCCCAGCCGTGCTGGGGGCTCAGGGTTCCTCCGGCTCTGCTGGACGTGGCTGCGCGCAGCTGACATTCAGTCCTTGGACCCAGTGATGCAGCTACTT